ATTTGCTGCTAGCCTTGCAAAGAGCAAAAGATCATCAGTAAACATTAAATAGGAAATTTGGAGTCCTTCCCTACCAGCTCTGATGGGGCCCCATATGCCTTCCTTAACTCTACTCTCAATTATTCAAGAAAACTTCTCCTTGCACAGCACAAAGAGGTATAAAGACAAAGGATCGCCCTGTCTTATTTCTTTGCTAGGAAGAAAGTCCTTTTAGTACCTCAATTCCAAAAGATATTCATAAATGTTGAGGTAATGTAACTCATAATCACCTCTAGCAAGTTTTTTTGAAGGCCGACTTCCTCCAAAATGCAAATGATAAAATCCCACCTCAGCCGGTCATAGGCCTTTTCTAAGTGATAGCAAAATAACCCCCCTTACCCCTCATCTTGCTCATGGAGTGAAAGAGTTCTCTAGTTATAAACATCTTGTCCTGTATGTGTCTACCTGGGACAAAGCTCGATTGAAAAGGGGACACCAACTTTGAAAGAACTGGGCTTTATTCTATTGGCTATAAACTTTTGATATCCCTTGTAGATGGCGTTACACAAAGAAATGGATCTGAACTGAGAAATAGTCTCTGGTCTTTCAACCTTTGGAGTAAGAATAAGGAAGGTTTTGTTAACTGACATAACTTCCTCCTTCCTTTCCAAAACATCCTTGACAAACTTGACACCTGCTTCCCCACAATAGACCACGATTGCTGATAGAAAGATGTGGGGAAACCATCTGGGCCTGCGCTTTTAAAGGATTCATACTAAAGAATGCCTTTTAATCTCCTCCTCAGAGAAGGGTTTTGATAATTGCGCTAGATCATCATGATTTAATGGAGTAGAGTAGGGGATTGGATAACCTTACCTTTCAGGGAGTCATCCTTCAAGTGGAGTAGCTTAAAGAATTTTAAAGCCAAATCCTAGAGCTCCTTTTGATCCTCTACCCATTTGCCATTTTTTGCTTTTAGCATCAAGATTTTATTCCTCCGTCTGTGGCAGATTTTCTTGAGATGGCAGTACTTCGTATTCTTGTCCCCCTCGTTGATCCACCTACACTAGATTTCTGGAACCATAGTATCTCCTCCTCCTCTAGAACTTTAGCCAACTCCTCATTAAGCCGTCTTTCCAACTCTTCCAAAAAAGGATTCTTCTACCTTGAGATTTTTAGTGTCTTCTGGATCCCCATCAATCTGGCCAAGAGGGACTTTTTTCTTCCTTTGATATGCCCAAAAACCTTCCTATTCCAATGTTTGAGTTACTGAGCCATGTGTTGGATGTTTTCCACCATACCTGCATTTTCTCTCCATGCTGTTCTGACACAATTCTGGTAATCTTTGTGCAACGTCCAAGCCTGCTCAAACCTAAAAGGTCTGGTCTCCCTTCTAGCTTGAAAACATGGGTGCAAATGAGAAGGGGATTATGATTAGAAAATTTCACCATTTGCAAAACCTCACTTCTGCCTCATAGAATTGCAACCTCCACTTTGGGTTGACCAAGGCCCCATCAAGTTTCTCAAAAATCCTCTCTTGGTCTTGATTCCCCTGTCCCATCCAAGTGAATCTGCTACTAGCTGCACCAAGATCAATTAACCCACAACTATTGATACGATCCCGAAAAGTATTAGCTCTTCTCCAGTTGAATTTGCCTCCCCCTTTTTTTCTTCAGCAGAAATGATGTCATTAAAATCTCCCGCCAGTAACCATTCGCCTTTCATCATTTTACTCAAACCTTCCAATTTATTCTAAAGATCTTTTTGAGATCCTCAACTGGGCTGGCATATACTGGAGTAAAAAACCAACAACCTTCCCTGTTAAAAGGAATCTCCGTATGGATGAATTCCAAATCTATATCATGAACCTTAACCACCACATTCTCAGATCTCCAAGCCATAAAAATACCCCCCGCATACCCTCTGCCCTTCACAAACTCAAAGCCATCAAAACCCATAGCTTTAATCGATCTAATAAGTCTTTGAGGGTGGATTTTCAATTCTAATAAAACCAACACTTCAACCCAATATTTCCTAGGAAAAGCCTACAATTCCTAGAAAATGCCTTACTCCCTACACCTCTACAATTCCAGATAAAAATATTCGTAGACTTCTTAGACATGGAAAAACAATAAAAAATAAATAGATGAATAAATAGCACAAATCACCTTCAAGCAATTTGCATTACACTGTTGGACTCCTCTCTCTAATTAGAGCCCTTATCCATTATGTAAATACCCACTGTTTCATTTCCTAGCTTATGCCTACAGCATCCTCGCGTGGGTTAGCGGGGCCTTTAGGCAAAAAGCCTTGTAAATTTGGTTGCTCAAATAAGGCCCATCCCCTTCGTCCATGGGCTTTTCCCTATTAAAGGTGCCCACAATGTTTTTCTCTAGAGCCTAATGCCTTTTCATTAACAGGCCCATATCATCTTGGCCCATTAGGATTTTGTCTTGATTATCTGTACTTATGTTCCTCTCTTGATTCCACATGATGACACAACTTGTACAATCCCTTGATTTTTCACTTTATTTTCACTTTCTAGCTGTCCTTTTTGTCTCATGGTCAACTCCTGCTTTCCCTTTTCATCATTACTCTTTTGCATCTCTTTTTCTTTAACTATTTCTTTCCTTTTTTAGAAACCTTCTCTCCGTTTAGTTGACTCTAGTGCGCACCCACTAGGACAGCGCACCCAAGAGTCATTGGATCCGGACATACCTCCTTGCAGACCATGCAGGGGGCTCGGATCCAATGGCTCCTAGGTGCGCTACCTCAGTGGATGTGCACCCATTGTCAATTGCACCCTCTTTGTTGTGCTAAAATCTTGCTACTATCACCTTTTCTTTTTCAACGTGCAAATCTTGAGAAAAACAATCTGCTTTTTCTCCAAAGTCCAATCCATGCAAATCTTCCTATCAAGCACTTGGAAACGTGAGCCGCAGCTTGCCGGAAATCCCTTTACGTTCCCGTCCGACATCCTTCCCTCAGCACCTGGGTCCCTTGTTTTCTTCCCTGGGCTTCCTGTTCCTTCATGGCTTTTGGACAAGTGACCAGGGACCTAACATGGATTTTTCGCTCCTTTGATCAAAACATCCCTGGCCACGAAAATGCACTGGAGGTTTGCCGGGCACAAACTACTCTTGCTTTCTAACCGGACATGCCTCTGGCAAGTGACCGTATTTCCCACAGCAGAAGCAGAGCATGTGAAGCCCCTCGTATTCTATCTTAAAAGTCCTTCATCTGATTTTAAACTTACCTAAAAGAGGATGGGAGAGGTCAATTTCTACACAAATCCTTGCGTATTTCCCCCTTGCTTGGGCGGCTGCGGTGGAGTCTATTTTCACTATTTTGGCTATCAAGTTACCATTTATTCTCAATGCACGCCAGTGATATTACTCGATCGGCAGTTTTAGTAGCCTAACCCATACCGCCAACTTGCTCATACGGCTCTCAAACTGTTCGAAGTTCACGCTCCATCTCTTTAATGTTAGATAGTGGTCATAGATCATCCATGCCCTCCCTCTAATGCAAACTCCAGGTGCAAAGGGTTGGAGAACTTCACCAAAAATTTCTCCCCACCTATATCAATGATATCCAACACTCCATACATAGCCCACATCCTCTGAAGTCTAGATTCAAGGGCTTTGTACCCTATTTTCCTTCCAAGCAATTTGACAATTAGTGCCTTCCTCCAAGGCCTTTGAAGGCACGCCTCAAGTTTTTCTCCAAAGACAATTTCTGGGCAAGATAGTGTGTCCCCGTGATCTCTTGACAAGCCAATCTGAGTCCAAAACCTCCTCTTCTATGGATTCCTCATCTCTATCCATCTCCTCCTCTGTCCACATTCCCCTCAAATTTGAACCCGGATCGTTCGCAAAATGGAATGAAGCTCCCAAAAGTGAGTCCTTGTACGATTTCCTAGCCTCTTCTTTGTCTTCTGCTAATCCTCCTGCGTCCCTTAACATTTGCCCATTCTCCCCCTGGTTTCCCAGCGCATGGGAGACAATTGTTCCCTCATCCACAGGCCTGGGTTGAAGATCTCCTTTAATTTTCTTTATACTATGTTAACAAGGTCTTCCTCCTCTACAGAGCTTCTGCTGCCTGCGTTTCCGGCATGCTTCCTAATTATTGTTGTCCCTTGGACAATGCCGGCCATGCTGTAGCACTAATCTTTAGTACTACAACGCTGAACTCTCTGATTTTTAGGTAACATTGGCAACCCTACAGCGTCAGACTTCAGTACCATGAGAATTTAGTACCACACTTCACTCCCCAATTTTCAAAAACGCACCACGTCAAGAAGCTTCTTAATTAATCTTAAACTTATTTTGCTATCTTTTATGATGGTGCATACGATAATCAGGCCAAAAAAAAAAAAAAAAAACAGAGATCAAGACAAAATTTGCTGTTTGTTTCTGTTTTTTATTTTTAGTTTTTCATATAAAACAAAGAAGGATTTCTATAATATTTAAATAGATATAAAAAATAATTAATTTTTTTGGCATGAAACGTTTAATTATCTAAGAAAAGAGTCTTACAAAAATAATTTTCTAACAACTATTGCTCATATTTTTTGAGGGACTAATTTTTTCTTAATTTTTTAACCGAAACCTAACACATTAAAATTCAATTATTTTTGGATCTAGAAGAAATTATTTTCTTGCAATATTGAGTAAATTTACAATCATAAACATTTAATTAATGTTACATTTGGGCCTTGATAAATAAATATATGAGGATCAATTACAATAGTTGCCCCCCGACTTCACACCTAATTTCTATTGAGTACTTGTGCTTCCACTTGTCACAATCCAAACCCCCATTTATTTTTAATTTAATGCGCTTGAAAATATTTTTCTCATTTAAAAAATTTTATGGTTCATTAAAATATCAAGTGTTTATCCGCACATCACATGAAGAGAAGAATATCGGTGGCTGCTTTTGGGTAACCCTCCTGAGTCCCAAGATTCCCTTTGCTGTTCTCTTTCTCTGAGACCCTGCAAGGTCAGCTCAACTCATTTATGGATTCATTGCCGGTAGAATTAGTCAACTTTGGAAAATCACTCATAGTACCCAGCGTTCAAGAGCTAGCAAAACAGCCCCTCCGTGCAATCCCGGCGAGGTACGTGCGCGACGAGCAGGACCCTCCGGTCGTCTACTCCAGCGATGGGGGATTTCTCCCGTCGGTGCCGGTGATCGATCTGCGGAGCTTGCTTTCAGGGGACCAGATGAGACTGAGTTGGAAAGGCTGCACTCTGCTTGCAGAGAATGGGGTTTTTTTCAGGTCAGTATTTCACCTTTTTATGAGGCATTGCCAAACAGGGCCTAGAGCTGGCTCCATCATGTCTTGTTTGGATGCTGAAAATAAAAGAAAATGTGAAGGTGTGGCTACAATGATGAGCATGGGTAATTTTCATTAATTTTCCTCAAAAATTAGTTTGTTTTCTTTTTTTATTGGCGGAAAAAAAAAAGAAAAAAAAATTCATGACATTAGATTATCGAATAGAGAGATCAGGGTCTCAGCTGTAACTTTATTGAATGTGGGCTTCCTGTAATGGCCCGAAACCATGTCCAGCCCAACTTTTTGAAGAAGCCCAACAGAAAATCAACTTCTGTGTGTTGCACTAGTTTCTCGTATATCTGATTGTTGGTACTGAGATGAGCGGGTGATGTTAGGTCTCCTTTTAGGTAGAATTAAATCTTTATAAGCGGAGATGAGACATGTTTTTAAAGAGGTCAATGTCAGTGTAAATTATTTGGCTAATCAGATTGTCTCAAAAACTTGGTATTAAAGATTGGACACTCCCCTGATCAGATACGAGTTTCCTCTGGCAGAATACTTTGCCCCCTTGTTATAGAAAGGAAAAAAAAAAAAAAAAAAAGGAAGGAAAAACAAAATTTCTTTGCACCCCAACCACCCAGCACCACAAACCCCACCCCACCCCCCCCTCCCCCCCCCCCCCCCCCCCCCCTCCCCCAAAAAAAAAAAAAAACAAAAGAAAAAGGAAAAAAATAGAATGAAGGAAAAAAAGGCAAAGAAAAGCAAAAGACAGAATCAGACAACTAGTAATTGATGGCCACATCTGGTTAATTTGGTCTATGATTTAATTATATGTTTTTATCTTCCTTTTTTTCCATTGAGAAGTTGAATTTTTTGTGTAAAAGAAACCTTAACCCCAATCCTCATATATGCAAATAGCCGTTTCCTGTAATTCAATTCGTTTTTGAAATATATATTTGTGTATAACAATTATTTTAAAGATTATATACCCATTATAAAAGGAAAAGAAACTTTCTTGGCTAATGTAAAATGGAGACACTTGGATATGTTAGTTTTTAGGTTTTAGTTGTGAAAGCAGGTGGTAAATCATGGAGTGAGCAGTTCACTATTAGAGGAATTCAAGAGGGAAATAACGGAGTTCGTCAGACTTCCCATGGAGGAAAAGCAGAAGTTGTGCAGCAGCCAGACAACCATGAAGGTTTTGGGCAACTATTTGTGGTATCCGAGGAGCAGAAGCTTGACTGGTCTGACATGTTCTACATCACCACTCTTCCAACCAGTTTAAGGAGGACACAACTCTTTGAACTTCTCCCTCCAAAGCTCAGGTCTCTCTCTCTCTCTCCCCCTCTCTCATGGTGAATATTCTTACAGTATTTTTGTTCAAGAAATGTAGTGCAACAAAGAGAGAAGGAAAACACAAGAAAAAAACAATTGTAAGAAAGAAAATAGAAAAGAAAAAGTTTCACTCTCAAAGTACACCATTCTTACAAAACTCCCAAAAGATGCAAAAACTAAGTACATGTCGGCAATAATTGGAATTTGTACTAGTTTGTAACCCAGAACAGCTTGAGTCCTTTGCTTTCACCACAGCTCAAAACAATTTTCCAATTTGGGTCTGCACAAAATTCGGAGAGTATTTTACGAAAGGGAGTGCTTTGTTCGGTCAAAAGAGTCAGGTTTCTTAAAAAGCCCAAATCTTTTTAACGGCTTCTTGGTTGAAATGCATTCAAGAAAGCTTAATTTTTTTTCAAACAGATCCACGAAAAAGCCCTTAAAACTAGGCTCTTTTAGGATCCCTCACTCTAGTTCTTTGCAATCTGATTGTTGGGCTTTTCCATGCGCGCACGCACACACAAAATCCTCAATTAACCAATTATGCAATGTAAGAAAAGGCCATTTTTGAACCAAACAACCTTAACATTGGATGGGATCTGATGAATCTTGTAAGCGCATGTTATTTTGTTTGGCATGATATCATTTTTAATTTTGATCTCCATACTGAATGTAGGGAAGTATTAGAACTATATTCAATGGAAGTGAAGAACTTAACAATGACAATCCTAGGTCAGATGGCTAAAGCACTAAAGATGGACAATGAAGAGATGACAGAGCTATTCACAGATGGCGTGCAGTCCATGAGAATTAACTATTATCCTCCATGCCCCGAGCCAGACATGGCCATGGGCTTCACTCCTCACTCTGATGCAGTTGCTCTGACTATTCTCTATCAGCTTAATGACACTGAAGGCCTACAGATTCGAAAGGAAGGGAAGTGGGTATCTGTAAGACCGCTTCAAAATGCTTTTGTTGTCAACGTTGGAGACATCATGGAGGTAATGTTTTTATTCTTTTTGTTCCATGGTATGGTCTGGAAGCCATACGTTTATGTTATTTGAAGAAAGTATTCATCTAAGATTTTTATCTGTTGCATATTGTCCATGAAAACGAGCTAAATGGTGGATTTATTCTAAGTTCAAACTTGGTTTGAAGAACTTGACAAGGCTCAGAGGGGCTTTGAAATTTTTTGAGATGATCTCAAACGAGTCTTAATTTGTAAATAAAATTCAATCAGAGGATGGACTCGATATAAAGGGTGTTCAAAAGTTAGTTTGACATGATGCTTTAGCAAGCCAAATACAAGAAAAATTCTAGTAGTTTGAATCGACTTTGTAATTGGGTAGTTTCATAGTTTGTCTCTGTCATTGCAGATTGTAAGCAACGGGGTTTACAAGAGCATTGAGCACAGAGCAGCAGTGAACTCGACCAAAGAGAGGCTCTCCATTGCAACATTTTACAGCTCCAATTTAGAGTCAGAGTTAGGCCCCGCCCGGAGCCTCGTTGGACTGGACAATCCGGCAATTTTCCGGCGAATCCCCTTTGAGGAGTACTTCAAGGGCTTCTTTGCAAGGAAACTTGATGGCAAGTCTTACCTGCATTTCATGAAAATAGAAACAGGGGAAGGCATTGCTAGTTAATTTCTGTTGCATGTGCAAAATAAAAACCAACTTTCCTCGTTGGGGAACTCAAACTTAATGAGCTATCTTGAAGAGCCAAGTGGAAGCATGCAACACAACACTTGGTTTCACTTGCATAAACAAGTTTAATTTAATCATTATTTATCGCTGGATTGTATTAAATTAACAAGCTAATCTTGAGCAGTCTCCTCATGGTCAATGCTTGAATGTTTGAGTGTGTGTGTGTGTGTGGAGAGAGAGAGAGAGAGAGACAGGAGCATCTGGGCGAGGTGTACCTGATAGACAACCTTGAAAGCATAAGATTTTTTAAATAACTGATCTGAATCAATTTTGTCTAGCCTAAGTAGCTTCATCATACAACTCATCAACAGTAAACTCAAGGCTGTTATCTTTATATGTCCTCCTCAATATACGCTGAACCAAAAGAAAAGAAAGAAAAAGGAAAAAAGAAGAAAAGAAAAACCCTTTCTAGCATTCTGTCAAACTTGAAATCAATCCAAGAAAAGTGATAATGTATGATCTCACATGTCCATGTCTTCACCTATACCTGTTTTGGTTTATCAGTAATCGGCGTGGTTGGGCCAACGTATGCATTCCCCGATTGAGACCACACAGCCATACGAACTAAGTCAAAAGGCAGAAGGCAAAAGGCAAAAAGGCAAACTGCAAACTGTACATGCATGTCAGTGAAAAGGGGTAGAGAAGAAGAAGTGAATAATAATTTATAGAGAGTATGTCTTTACTCGTCGTATCTTTCCATGCTTGCAAACCTTTTTTATTAACAGGTATACAACAAATTAATATACAAGATGGGTATATTTAGAGGAATAAAGTTACATATATCAAATACAATTATACAAGGAAAATTCAGTAACTATTGATTGATTTTCTCCCTTGATTTGGGCCCAAAGTTTGAAGATGGTGATCACTTTCTCTGTTAACCTGGGTGGAAATGTTGATGGCAATGAGTTGATCTCTAATAAAGGATTTGGGAATTGTGTACCCCGGAAATAAAAACTATCCTACAACATAGTAGTGAATCTTACTTTTTATCAAAAGTTGGCTGTTTCAACATTTAGGATGCTGATTTTTGATTCACCTCAAGCACTGATTTGGGTTAATTTGACTAATTTCGTTTTACTTAATCCAATATTTTTCAGTCATTGGTTGGCCTCCCAGCTTATGTTTCATATGTTAATTAAATCCCTTAATTATATTTAATTTCTGTATGATAACTTGGGTACTGGGATTACACCTGTAAAGGAAGCCACACTTCCCATCAAAGAAAAGGAAGAGTATAGGCAACCTCTCACGTGTAGTCCCGTATTTTGGTGTTTCATTCCTGATTTTCAAGGCTTCTCTTGTTTCTTTTTATAGAATAAACAAGAACAAGTTTATCTCTCAAGGAATTACAGAGAGAGCCAGCATGATGTCGCACGAATGCCCTGCTTGCAGTGTTACGTATCAATCATCATGTTTCAAAAACTAAATCTGACATTATTGATTCCTAATATAATCTTATATGATTGTGGAATGAATGGCCGGTAAGAAATGATCGGAATGGATAGACAGAGGAAATGAAAATGATTTCCTTTTTTATTTTCAAAAATAGATAACACCAAAAGAAATCTTTGAAAGCTGTGTTGTTTATATATTGTTTATATTTAGAGGAGACATCATTGATCAAGAGAAAAAGAGAAAAAAACAAGACGAAAACGACTAGTCTACCCAAACAAGAGAAACGGGGAGGTCAAATTCTTCTAAAAACTGGAGCATCCTTTCTGAAAATCCTTCTAAATAGCTTTTCAAAAACAACCTGAAGGAGCTTGTTTTCTAAAATATTTTCTACAATAGTTTTTATAAGCAACCTGCCAAACAAGTATTAACTATTTCATCAATAATATTTTTTAAAAAAATCTAGTTTCAAGAAATATTTTTTAGAAAACTTAGAACGATTTTTTCTCAATTTCAAAATCACATACTTTTGTTTTCTAAACCAAAATTTTAGAAATTTATTCTTTTAAACTATATTTTAAGAGTATGTAGTCCAAAAAATAGAGTATATAACATAATTTCAAATGTGTTAAAAATATATCAAAATATGTCTAATAAATAATATCTAAATTATTTTTAAAATATTATATCATAAAAATATATTTTAATTTAAAAATTTGTACTCTTAGAAGTCTTGAAAGAGCGGCGCATCAGATAATCTAATTAGCAGCTTACTTCCCACCTTTCCATGTTGATATGCACCTGAATGATACGTAAAACACTGTTGTTCAAATTTGTTTCATTTATTTTATAATGTAGTTAAGAACCAACAATAATAGTAATGATATGTTGCACTTTCTATTTCGCTCCTTGTAGTAGGTCCATCACCTATATAAAGCCCATGTAACTCCCTCTTCCCCCATCCCTCTCTCTCTTCTAAGTTTTCAAATATACTGTTGGTTTCCATTTTAGTGAGTTGTTTGGTGGCCGCATCGGCCAGCGACTTCAACCAAGATGTGGAGATGACTTGGGGCGGCGACCGTGCTAAGATATTGAAAGGCGGTCGGCTTCTCACTCTTTCTCTCGACAAGTTCTCAGGCTCTGGCTTTCAATCCAAGAGAGAGTACCTCTTCGGCAGGATTGATATACACATCAAGCTTGTCGCCGGCTAGTCCGCCGGTACCGTCACTACTTACTATGTAAACTCCCTCTTCTCCATCCAAAAGTCATCGACACAAGTCGGAAGGATTGTTGATTTTTTTTTTTTTTTGTCCTTTTTACCTTTTCAATTAAGCTTTTTGTCTTGTCGGGAAAGAAAGAAGTGGTGCTTATTTGTTTTCACGTCCTTGAAAGGCTTTTTAACCAAAATCTCTTACATTTCAATGATTTGGACCTTGGAAAGTTTTTGTGAAAAAATATTTTGAAAAAAAAACCTTACAATACATTTTTAAACTATTAGAAGTGGTACAAGCAAGCAAACTGTTCAATATTTTCAAGGCTTTTTCCGGTTCGTAGAAGCACTAACCAGAAATAGAAACCAAACAATTTTGTTGCAGTTGTCTTCAGAAGGGGAAATGCATGACGAGATTGATTTCGAGTTCTTGGGCAATGTAAGTGGACAACCTTACACCGTCCACACCAACGTGTATGCCCAAGGAAAAGGAGACAGAGAGCAGCAATTCCACCTCTGGCTTGACCCAACAGCAAGATTTCACCTTTACTCCATCTTATGGAATCCCAAGAACATCGTGTAAGAAATTATATACATATATAGAGTGAGAAATTATATACATATAGTTCTTCTCTTGAGAATATCGGTTACAGAAAATCAAGAGAAAATTACAAAAATTGATTGATCACTTTGCTTTTATTTTCTATGAAAAAATAGTTCCGTAGTTTTTCTTCTGCTTTGAGAAAAATTAACATGAATTTATTGATTACATAACCTGCAACTAAACTCCAAGAGCCAGAGAAAACCTCTGAGGTAATTAATCAAACACCTAGAGCCCAAAACCTAATCTTGCCATATTACAGTTTGACCCATATTCATGTATAAAATTATGGAATGCACATTATATATTATCTTACTATCACATGTCTTTTATCTTTTTTCCTATATATGAAAAAAAAAATTCTGAAAGGAAAAAGATGAAACTTTCATTAAAATTGGTGGTAAGACCAAAGAAACACAGGACTCATTCAAAAGACACAATCCCAGACCATGGAGACAACAATCTCCACAGAAACCTCGGAAGAAGTAACACTTCAACAGATTTACTCAGTTCTGTGGAACTAACACGTTTAGCATAAATGTAGCATTACTCGGTTCTGAATATATTATTAGAGTCTTAAATTTCTCTATTAATTAATATATAATTAGAATGTGTTTGTAATTCCTTTTCAGATTCTTAATAGACAACGTCCCCATCAGGGTTTTCAAAAACCAAGAAGACCTTGGAGTCCCATACCCTAAGACCCAACCCATGGGGATGTACTCCAGCCTGTGGAACGCAGACGACTGGGCCACGCAGGGAGGGCTGGTTAAGACTGATTGGTCCAAGGCTCCGTTCACCGCTTACTACAAAAACTTCAAAGCTGATGCTTGTGTGGGAACTTCATCTTCATGCTCTTTTAAGTCATCTAGTTCTGGGCCCTCGTCGGAGGAGCTGGACGCAAGGGGGAAGAAGAGGCTTAGGTGGGTTCAGAAGAATTACATCATTTACAACTGCTGCAGAGATTTTCAGCGCTTCCCTGATGGTCTACCACGGGAATGCAGGAGTAATTTCTGTTGAGTGATCAAATTTCGTGAAGTCAAAGCGCCAAAACTTGAGTTTCGTAGTTCTCTAGTGTCAGTGAATAGTAATATGTATTTATATGCTTCATTGTTTTTCGTGTCTGCTAAATGTTGAATTTTTGCATGAATTATTTTATAAACTCAATTATTTCAAAACTAGAATTTAAATTTGTTATAAAAAGTTCACAAGGGACATATATGATATATGGTATTTTCTAAATGGTTTAGAAATTTTCTGAACTATTGATTTAGATTATAGTTATGCTTAAAAAAGTTGAAAAGTGATAAATTATTTTTTGGTAAACTTTGAAAAGTGATTTTAAGTTTGTATCCCCGTCTAGCAAGGGTGGTACTAGACTACTACGTAAATATGATATGACAAGCTTGTTTGAGATAAGTGAAAATGGTGGTAAGCAGGGATGGTGATTATATTCCCGCCTGCGAGTCCTGCTCGAGATTCTCGCCTGTTATATGTATACTGGCAGGCTAAGAGACTGTCGCCCGTTATATGTGTATCTATTCAGTTTTGTTAAGAGACTTCCTAAGTTTGCATAAGTGAAAATAAATTTTGTTTTATGACAAAAACTATTTGATATATGTCCCTTGTCATGTAAATATGTGTTACTATTCACTAAATCATTAGACTCACCCCTTAATTTTTCCAGACTTAGTTTCTATGCTGCCGACTAATCCTGTTGCATGAGAAGAGTTGTCAATCCCGATTCTGTGGTTCCAATGGATTTGGTTTCCCAGTGTAGTAGTCAATTATTATTTTTTCCTATTGTGTTAATTTGTTTTAGTTAGCATAGACATAATTTGAGTTTAAGGATTTTCAAATGTTGATGATTCTATTAGATTTTTGGAAGTTTGTATTAGACTTTGACAATATATTAAGTTTAGTTTCAATTTGTTATGTTATAATTTTAAGTATTTGAGTTTTGCGGGTTGGGATAATTTTAATCCTAGCGCTGGTCACGGATTCAACTTTCCGTGTCATGACACTGAACATATTAAAAAATATTAATTTTTTATTCTAACGTTAAAATATTAAATTCATATATATGTGTGTTTGTATGTATAATATATATTATAAATATAATAAATTATATAATATATATAATATTATATATCATATAAGAATTTAAGAATTTAATACATACAAAATTGTACGTATTAATTGTAAGTATTTCAATTAATATTTCTGTTCTCCATATTCTGTATTTTCAAATATTTGTTCTTATTATTACTTGTTCCTGGGCTTACATTGGTATCAGAGCCATAGGAGTAGGGAAGGAGACCATAATTTGACAATTTTTAGGTTTGAAAATTGTTTATTAAACTTCATTTAAATATTAACTCTGTCTGAATCAGTGTTTAGAGTCGCGTAGCTTAAGGGCAAAAGATATGTCCTGTGGTAAGCATAAATCGTTGACAGGCCTAGGATAAGAATAATATCTGAGAGATGGTTAATAAAAATTTTGGAACTTAAAAATTATTAAATTATGGCATTTTTGTCTAGAACTATGTCAATGGCGTCAAGTTTGTCCCAAAACATAGTTAATAATGAAGAACAAACTTTTCAAAATACAGAACAATCAATTAATAACTGAGATATTCCTAGAATCCCAGTACGAGAAATTTACAAAATCAAATCTTTTCAATTTTTGTCTAATTATTCAATCAAAACTGTTGAACAAACAATACCTTTACAAAGTGAACATCAAACCATAAAATTATTAGACCAAAAAGCCATTCAAAAATACAAACAAAAATATCAATATATCCATTTTGGCTTAGTTCAAATTGCAATCAAACCACTTACTATGAGTGGTCTAAATACAGCAATTCTACTTTGTTTAAGGGATAAAAGACATCTGAATTTCAAAGATTCCTTATTAGAAGTTATTGAGACTAGTCTTTACAATGGTCCTGTTTATTTCAATTGTTTTCCAAACTTTTCTGTTTCTCTTAGAGATCCAGGAGTTCTCAATGCTTTAACCCTTAAAATACAATCTTCTGGTTACAATATGGAGCTAGGCAATATTCCCTTTGCTCTTGTTTATAGAATCCATTACAAAACTATGACTACAATCTTAGATCCTTTAGCAAAAATTACTAGCCCAAAAAATGAAACAATTCTTTTCAATCTCAACAAGGAAATTCAAACGTAATTGTTCTTCAAACAATCCTTTGAGATGACATTCAATTACCTTCTGAATGGGAATTAGAAGATCAGGTTCCCCAACCAATTTTATAAAATAAAACTTTACAACAAATTCGAGAATTTGAAGATGGCACAGTAAGGTTAAAATTTTCTTCCAATCGTTTTTTCCAACTCAACATAGGAGAACCTAGTGTCAGACCAAAATCTACCTATGTTCCTTCAAGAGCTTCTTGTTCTTCAATACCAATTCAAAAACACCTTAACATTGAAGAAATTAAAAATTCGTCAACTATATCTCAACCAATATATCGAACTCCAAAAGATAAGGAAAAAGAATCCCAACCTAACATGTTACCAACTCAATCTCAAATGCAAGATCCACAAATTTTTACTATACAAGAAAATTTTATTCTAGATAAAAAAACTTCTGCAACAAGAGTTCTGGTCTACTGAAAATAGTGAAAAAAGAAAATGATTTTTACAAAATATAAACCAAGAAAATAAGAATTTAATACATACAAAATTTTGCGAAGATGTTCAAAAACATAAATTTCATATAAAATTCTTTGATTGGTTTTCAATCTATGCCTTAAATAATAATATTAATTATCCTTTTGAAAACAATCTAAAAGAAATCAACGTTGCTACCAAAAATAATAAACAATGGGTAACTGTATCAGGAATTAAAGAATCTATTCACCCTCCTTTAGAAGAAATTCAAATACACACTAGATCTACAACAATTAGAGCATCGCCTTTCAAATCAAAAAGTTCTGATGAAAATAATGTCACTTCTAGAGATGTCCAAAAAATAATGGAACAAAATAATTTTACAAATCAAAATCTTCAAACATTAGGTGAACAATTAATAAGAATTGAAAATTCTTTCATTAAAACACCACAAGAAAATGAAGAAATAAAAACAAAACCACTTTTCACTCCTCATGAAATTCCATCACAATACCAAGATGAATTATTAGAAGAAAACCTTGAACAAAAAATCAATGATAAACTTGCCCAATTACAAAAAGTAATAGATAATGTTATTGTAGTTGATACACCATTTCAAGCTTCAGGATCAAAGCAGATTCAAACTTTAATTCAATTATTTGAAACTGAAGTTGATCAAATAATAGAAATATTTACAGAAGACCCACAAATTAATGCAACTAATTGGAATAAAAAATTCCACACAAGTATTACAAAAAACTATTATCCTCGTTTTTCATTCCCTGACCAACAATTTGAAGTCCAACCAGAACTTGTAGTTCATTACAAAGGTAGTGAAATCTACAAATAGAATTTAGATGGTCTTTCAGAATATCAAAAACTCTCAAAATTACAAGAAATGACAATGGTGGCAAGTGCTTATAAAACAAAAAGACAATGTTCTGATAGAGCAGTTACTGAAATTTTAATATCAGGATTTGATGGTAGACTAAAATCTTGGTGGACTAAATACCTCACTCAAACTAAATAAACACAAATCCTCAATGCTTTGAGAGTAGATCAAGAAGGAGAAATTGTTAAAACTGAAAACAATCAACCCATTCAAGATGCAGTTAATACTTTAATATATACAATAATTAGATACTTTATAGGAGACACAAAGAAAATAGAAGATAGATTTTCAATAATTCTCAATAATCTTAGATGCCCAAAACTTCAAGATTTTACTTGGTATGAAGATGTTTTCCTCACAAAATTGTCTTTACGTGAGGATTGGAGACAATCATATTGGAAAGAAAAATTCATTGATGGTTTACCCAAACTATTTGTAGAAAAAGTTAAAACAAAATTAAGGAACCAAAATGAAAATAAAGAAATTAATTATGATAATTTAACATATGTTGATATCTCAGATGTAATTAGAGAAACAGCACTAGAAATACGTACAAACTTCCATATAAACCAAAACATACAAAAAGAATTAACAAACTCTAAAAAAGAATTAGGAAATTTCTGTCAACAATTTGGATTTAATAAAAATACAGAAATACCTCCATCAAGAAGAAAACCCAACAGAAACCCTATAAAATATAAAAATCATAGAAGTTATAAGTCCAGACCAAGTAAAGAAAATTTTTACACTAATAAAAAAATTTTTAGACCGAAGAATATAAAAAATTCAAAAAATCAATATCAACCCAAAAAGAATTACTTTAATAAAAATAAATTCATTCCAACATGTTATAAATGTGGCAAAGTAGGTCATTTAAAAAATAAGTGTCCAACCAAAACTAAAATAAATTCTTTAGAAATAGATGAACATTTAAAAGCACAATTAACAAAATTATTAATTAATTCTGACCAATCAGAATCTGACATACAAATATAATCAGATCAAGAATATGAATTAGATGCACTACAATCTGAATCTCAATCTCAAAACCAGTCATCATCTTCTGAAAAAGAAACTATAGACCAACACTGTACCTATAATACAAGTAATGTTATCTTAAAAGCACAAGAAATGATTTGGGAAATGATAGAAAATATAGAAGATCCCCAGTTAAAGAAAAGTTATTTGTTAAAATTACAACAATCTCTCCAAGAAAATACACCATAAAAGAAAAATAAAGAACCTTTAGAAAATTTTTATGACTTAGGAGAAATTATACAAAGAACAAAAAATCCAATAAAATAAAAAATAACTACTAATCAAATTAATCAGGATATGAGTCAATTAAAACTTGAAATAAGAAAAATAAAAGAACAAATGTGTACGAACAAACTAGAATTGAAAGATTTAAAAAATCAGGTAATAATTCTCAAAAGTAAATCAAGAGGTAAAGAAAAAATACAAGAAGCACAACGAGATTTTCAAATATTTACGCCTCCAGAAAATGTTCAAGATATTAATTTATTGTCTCAAATCTCATATCAAAAATGGAACGTAAGATTAAAAATTGTGATTAATAAAGAATATACTTTGCATACAATAGCATTAATGGATTCTGGTGCTGATCTCAATTGTATCCAAGAAGGACTTGTACCTATAAAATATTTTGAATCCACAACAGAAAAATTATCTTCAGCCAATGGAACTCCTCTACAAATAAAATACAAACTTACAAAAGCCCTTGGATGCAATCAAGGAGTTTGTATTAAAACCTCTTTTCTCCTGGCAGGAAATTTAAATAGGGAGGTAATATTAGGAACTCCATTTCTAAATTTGTTACAACCCATGACTATATGTAGTAAAGGAATATCTACAATAATCAATGATCAAGAAATTATATTTGAATTCTTAAGTCGGCCAGATATAAGAGCTTTAAATCATTTAAAAAGCTTAGCAATACACCCTAAAGAACAAATCAATTCAATAATGAGAATAATCTCCAAGGAAAAACAATTAAATTTATTAAAAAATGAAAAAATTAATCAAAATATTCAGAATGAATTAATAAATAAAAATATGCAATTAGCCATTGCAAACTTTCAAGAAAAATTAATAAAACAAGCTTCTTCAAATTTACCAAATGCCTTTTGGGAAAGAAAAAAGCATGTAGCAAGTTTACCATATACAAAAGATTTTTCAGAATCTCAGATAAAAACAAAAGCAAGACCAATCCAAATGAACAAAGAATTACTTGAATATTGTAAAAAAGAAGTTCAAGATTTATTAGATAAAAGATTAATAAGGAAAAGCCAATCACCATGGAGTTGTGTTGCTTTTTATCTTAAAAAAATGCTGAAATAGAAAGAGGAACTCCAAGACTTGTGATTAATTACAAACCTATCAATGATGCCTTACAATGGATAAGATATCCCTTACCAAATAAACAAGATTTATTACAGAGATTAACTAATGCAAGAATTTTTTCCAAATTTGATTTAAAATCAAGATTTTGGCAAATACAAATAAATGAATTTGACAAATACAAAGCAGCTTTCACTATCCTCTTCGGCCAATATGAATGGAATGTAATACCTTTTGGCTTAAAAAATTGCTCCAAGTGAATTTCAAAGAATAATGAATGATATATTCAATCCTTATACCAATTTCACAATTGTATACATTGAAGATATATTAATTTTTTCTGAAAATATTCAATCCCATTGGAAACACATAGATACATTCTTTTATATAATCAAGAAAAATGGTTTAGTTTTATCACCAACAAAAATAAGTCTTTTCCAAACAAAAGTAAGGTTTCTAGGTCATTATATAAACCAAGGCACAATAGTTCGAATTGAAAGAGTTTTAATTTTTGTTGATAAATTTCCAGATGAAATTAAAGACAAAAATCAATTACAAAGATTTTTAGGAGGCCTCAATTATGTTGGTGATTACTTTGAAAAATTAAGCCAAATAACAGCACCATTTAGGCAAAGACTTAAGAAAAATCCACCTGCTTGGTCACCAGAACATACCAAAATAGTCAAACAAGTCAAAATCTATTTAAAAACTCTACCGTGTCTACACTTAGCAGACCCAAAAGCTTACAAAATTGTAGAAACAGATGCCTCTGACATAGGTTAAGGTGGAATCCTTAAGTAAAAACCTTTAGGGCATACCAAGAACAACTAGTTAGGTTTACGTCAGGAACCTGGAACCAAGCCCAAAGGATCTATAGTACTATCAAAAAAGAAATTTTAGCAATTGTTTTATGTGTCTCAAAATTTCAAAGTGATTTACTAAATCAAGAATTTTTAATAAGGGCTGATTGTAGTGCAGCCAAACATATTTTGCAAAAAGATGTTCAAAATATTGCTTCAAAACAAATTTTTGCAAGATGACAAACAATTTTATCTGTTTTTGATTTCAAAATTGAATATATTAAAGAAGAATCAAATTCCATCCCTGACTTTCTAACCAGAGAATTTTTACAGGGAAACCCAGTCTAATAACCATGCCGCCTAGAAAGAACACTCCCAATCCCAAGCCAGCCCAAATTGATAACCAAAAAACCACAAAAGCCTCCTATGCCTTGCCAATAACTCAAACACCTGCACCCCAAGCTATTCAATTGAGGCCAATCTCTGAGAAAGATTGGTATGCAATAACTTTGCAAGAAGAACAAGAACAGGCCCTCCAAAAATTCAGTCAATTGGGGCCATTCACTGGTTCTGCCTCTGTGGCAGGACCCCTTACCCAAACATTTGCAAATACTGTGGTTGCAAAGCCGCAGTCGGGAGAAGCATCTAGCTCTTCCATTCAAAAACAAACTTCAAGCACCCATTCTTTCCAAAAATCTCAGTATTTAACAAAAACTAGGTGTGAGCAAAAAATTGTTTTATTAGAAAAAGCTTTCTGGGATGATAATCCTTCAAAAATTCCTTCAAAAGTTTTCTCTCTGGAATTTCAATTTATCACCTCAACTGTTTCAAAAACTCAAAAGTTCTACGAATTTATTCTCGTAGATACTGATTCAATTTCTATCAAACATTATCCGAATAGGCAAGATCCAACTCAAAATGCATATTCAACTTGCCAAATTCGCAAAATATTGACTCTAGAACAATGGAGTCAACACCCAAATCAAAACAGAAAATTTTCTCAAAATTTCTCCCCTCCAATTTTTAATTACTGGAATTATCGCACAGCCTGGTACAATGTTTTTCTTCTCCAAAACAAATCATTCAAACATTCTTGGATGATTTATTTTAGTAAAGAATTCAATTCCAATCTTACACCAAATTGGTTCTCCACTTGGTGGTTCCACTTTGGTCCACTTGCTCAAATCCTTCCACCTCAAGCACAAGAAGGACTCAATATTTTTCTAGAAAAATTCAAACTTCTTGCTTCTATGCCTTAACTTCCAATCCTCTTTTATTTCTTCTTAAAATTCTGTCTGGCTTGGATAGTATCTCGAGATTATACTATCCTTCAGTGAGATTTCCCATATCTCGCAAGAAATTTCAAAATCAAATGGTGGGACCAATTTAATTTTGATGCTATTCTCCCACCAAATATTTTGAAGATCTTCCAAATTTCTACCACCAATCCTGCTATCCTTACGGCAGGAAACCCTCAATTTCTTTTGCAAAAATCCAAAAACATTGCTGAATTGTCCTCAGCAAAATCCAAGAAGAATTACAAAAGGTTAATTCTCTAAATATTGCAACCCCTCTCTGACTCAGATGAGGAAGAGGGTACACAATTTCTCTCTTCTGATTCCCAATCCCTATCAATTGATTTTGCTCAAGATAATGAGGATGATTGTTTTGGCATCCTCTCAAAAATTCAGCAATCACCCAAGATAGCTAGCTCTTCAAAGACAAAAAGCAAGGGTAAAAGTAAGAAGTAAGTAGGTTATATCTACTCTCATCCAAATTACCCGTATAAAAGAAAAGAAAAGAAAAAACAAGAAAAGAAAATGAAAGAAAAAACAAGACAAGAAAAGAAAATGAAAGAAAAAACAAGAAAAGCAAAAGAAAATGAAATGAAATTCTGCACAATGATTCGTATCAAAGAAAAAACAAACAAGACAAAGGAATTACTATTCCCTAGTCAACTGGACAAAAGCAATACTATTCCCCAGACAACTGGACAAAAGCAATACTATTCCCCAAAGTTCAAAAGGTTCAAATGGTTCGTAAAGCATGCATAATTGCTGACAAGCATGACAGACAACACCCATGCGCAGCACGTTCACAAATTCTGCAAAAGCAAAAATTCAAGGTTGTCAAGATTCCTGAAAAAGGCAAATTTTCACGTGCTTAGCATTGTAAACAAAACTCAAGTTTTATGTTTTTGAAGTCCGGTGTAATCTGACGTCTATATATATGGATAATCGGAGTTTTAGAAGGTATCACTTGGCTTTGACACAAGAAACCATTTGAGCCTCAATCTTCTTTGTATTTCCAATTTCCCTTATATACTCAAAAATTCTGTATTCTCCAAGTTTATCCAATGCAGTTCCAATTCAAGTTTTAAATTATTTGTAAGTATTTCAATTAATATTTCTGTTCTCCATATTTTGTATTTTCAAATATTTGTTCTTATTATTACTTGTTCCTGGGCTTACATTGGTATCAGACCCATAGGAGTAGGGAAGGAGACCATAAATTATATAATATATATAATATTATATATCATATTATATAATTTATTATATAATACTAGATATATATCATATATAATTATATTATACAATTTATTATATAATATAATAATATATAATATTATAAATATTTATAATTTTTTATATTTAAAGGATTTTTTTTATATTTATATATGTCACCCACCCACAGAACTCTCTGTCTCTGACCCCTGCCTAACTGGGTTTTCGCCCATTACCTCAGTTTCCAATCAAGCTGTTGCTACCGTCCATACTTCTGCCAGCAACTTCCACCATGATGTTTTTAATTTCTTTTTCAGCTTCTTCATAGACAATGTGCGTATTAGGATTCACAAGAATCAAGAGGACTTTGGTGTGCCATACCCTAAAACCAGACCAATAAAGGTCTTCTCGGGCCCATCGATTGCGGACGATTGGGCCATGCAGGGAAGGCTGGTTAAGATCGACTAGTCCAAAGATATGTTTAGGCCTTTCTACAGAGATTTCATAGCTGATGGTTGTGTGGCAGATTCTTCTTCATCTTCATCTCCTTGATGCTTTTTTAAGCCTGCTAGTTTCGAGCCTATGCAAGAAAGGCTCGACGAAAGGGGGAAAAGGAGGCTCAGGTGGGTTCAGAAGAGGTACATGATTTACAACTATTGTAAGGATTTGAAGCACTTCCCTGAGGGTCTACCACGTGACTGCAAGCCTTGATAATTGGAGATCTTCTGCTTTTAAGTGATGTATTAATTGCTTAGTTGATTGGGATTATAAGATATGTTAATTTGGTGGTGAATTGTCAGGTGGGTTCAGAAGACGTTCCATGTTATCATTAGAAGAAATGCTAGTTTTAGTGACGAACTATTTGTGTTGAACACAAATTTCATCACAAATAAGGGTATATTAGTGATCAAAAATTTTTGTTACATTCTTTTGTGGCAATATATTATCTTGTCATAATACCTACATCAATTGTGATGAAGTTCACTATGCTACTAATTAGTCATCACAAACACATTTGTTTTAATGACGAATGGAATTGTTTCACTAAAAATGTGTCACAAAAACTAATTTTAATAGACATTACTCTTATCAGTAACAAATAATTAATTTTATCACTAATATCTAGCCCCAACAGTGACCATTACAATAATCGTCATTATTTTGTTAATATTAGTGACAACACTTTCGACACTATAATAACACTAATGTCTAATGAATTTGGTCGCAATAGGGCATAATATTAACGACTAAAAAATTAGCCACCTTTATACTATAAAAGTAAATTACTAGCAACAACAAAGCATGTAATTGATCAAATAAATAATTACTTTTATGTTGTCAAATGAATTATTAGTGTCAAATAAACATGTTGTCAAATTTTTATAATTTTGATAAAAGAAAAATATGTTTATTTAATTTTTTAGTTATAACAAATTTTATTATTGTTACACTTTTACATAATAATTTAAGGTTAAAAAATTCTAATGTTGTGTTCTAATTGTCAACTAAAGAAATACTATTACTTAAATATTAAAAGGCTAGTTTATTTAAGAAAAAGAGCCATCTAAAATAAATATAATTTAATTTAATTTACAAAATTAAAATTTGTAGAAAGAATTAAAATTTTACATTTTAGTACAAAATCAATTTTTTTTTCAAAATTTGGAAAACTTCGGAGATGAAATGACAAAAAAAAAAAAAACCAATGAATTCTTACTTTTTTGTCCATTTCATATAATTTTGGAGAAATTAGGGATGGCAATTGGACTTGATCCAATGGATACCTAGATAAATTATCCGAATAAGTTCAAGTCTGGATAATTAAACAAGTATCTGGGGGTTTGGGTTTGGATCTCGGTACTATAATATCTACTCCGTCCCAAATCTGCATATTACTAATATATATATATATATATATAAGTATTCAAGGTAATTATTCATGTTGTCATTTAATATAAGTTCACTGGAGAAATGGATAATTTCACTCTAATTTAAATAACGTTATAAATGAATAAATATGTAATTTCATTATAATTTAAATACATTATAATAACAATTTAACAAATATAAATTTTTACTATAACAATTGCCGAGAATTGTTATAGTAATTGAATTCAATATAAATAAATTATTATAATTCATTAACAATTGCCAGGAATTGGCACAGCTTTTTCCCTTCATTTTATTTTCATCCAATTTTCCCTCCATCTCACTGCAAAAGGCTTCATTGTGTGGCCAAACCTATAGGAGATATATCAGGAAAAAAGCATAACTGATCTATATATTATTTTGTTTCTATACCAAATGTCGCCCTCACCTCCCCTCCTTTCCCTCAAGCCTTATCATTTTACGATCTGCCTCTACTCCACTTCGATCAACGAGTTTTCCTTTATCAACATTGTCTTCAATATTACTGGCGCCATTGTTCTTCTTTGATGATGAACTCCACCGGCCAACAATCGCCCACACTGGTAAGCCTTCTCCCTTCCTCCCTGTTCTTTGTGTGTTGTGTTTTGTGGATAATCTGTTTTCTGGGGGTGCTTTGTTTTTTTTTCTCTTATTGTTATTCAAGTGACCTACTGTGGTTGTTGACTTCCCAGAATCCACATGATCTATTCTTTGATGGTTATTTTCATTCAACATCTCTCCCTTTATTTTTTTTGCATGGTGTTTTTGGGATGCTCTATATGTTTTTTGGTGCTCTATTTTTTTTTGGAGTGAAGGTCTAGTAAGGTTGTCTATTTAAAATTCTTAATATATACGTAGAGGTATATAACCTAAAATCTTCCTCTTGAACCTCTTCTGATGCGTGATATCTTCACATCAAAAACGTTAACTATGTTTTTAAAAATGATTTACTGATTTGAATTTTGACCATCCACTAATTAACTTCTAATTATAAAAACTTCATATCTCCTATTGTTAATAGTCTTAATTAAGAATGAGGTGCATGGTATTGTTGTGTTGTGGGACAGTGGGAGGCGACAAAAAGGAGGAATAGATATCCTTGTTAGTTTACTAATTTCACAAGATTTTACAGCTCCACAACAAACTGGTTAAGCTGGGGACTAACGTAATGTAGAACTTGTTTGGTTATGGGGTAAAACAAAATAATGGACAGCAAAAAGAGGATTTTAGTAAAATTAAATGGAGACTAGGGAGTAAAAAGCAACTCTGTGAAAGGGCTTTCGTCTAGGTATCAAAATGGGGTGTGGGCTAAAATGTGGGGTCTAGCTCATGTGTGAAAGGAATAACACCGAAAGAAGCCATGATAATTCAAAATGGAGAATTACAACTTCAAAGCTTTTGCACCGAAAAGAGAGAAAATGTGAATAACAGCTGCACCGAAAATGGCCAATTGTAGAATAAAATAAAAAATTGAAAATGGAGAGGGGTGCAAGGCCTATAAATAGGCCTCGCCCAAGCCTCCTCAAACCATCCCTCAAAATTTCATTCTTCTTTTCTAATAGTGGCCTAAGAGACTTATTCTTTGTAGCAAGAGTGAGATTTAGAGAGTTTTGTTTTTTCTCGTATTTTAAGAGAGATTAGTATTGTTTATCTCCTTAAATAGAGAGAAAGTTGTAACTCCTATTTTTCTTAGTGAAATTCTTCTATCCCTACCCGTGGTTTTTATCCTAAATTTATTTGGGGATTTTCCACGTAAATCATTGTGTCCCTATTTTATTATTTCATCTCATTTATTAGTTGCGATTTTACTTTATCGGGCCCATCATTTTTCACAACAAGTGGTATCAGAGCCTAACTTAGGTGTAGATATCTACTTATCGTATGCTTTGTAGTTACCACTAAATAGTGGATCCTCCACATTAAAAAATAAGATAGATTATTATTTACCCTTAGAAGGTGCTGGGTACTGTTCACGTATATAGTTACTATTCACATGTACAGTCACTATTCATGTGAAATAGTGGAAGTCCTGATAAAAGTAATGGTGGCAAAATTTGAGATAGAAAAGTTCAACATGAGCAATTTCTCACTATGAAAATTAAAGATAAAGACTATCTTGACAAAAGATAATTGCCAAGAGGTTATAAACAAAAGGTCAGAGAATATCACAGATGAGAAGTGGAAGGAGATGGAAAGGAATGCTGTTGCAAATCTTCAACTTGCATTAGCAGATGAAATATTGACAAGTATAGAAAAGAAGGAGAAGTAAAGGAGATTTGGAATCATCTCACCAAGCTGTATAAGGCCAAATCACTCCACAACAAAATTTTCTTAAAAAGGAAACTCTTTACCTTACGGATGGTGGAATCCACTTCGGTGACGGAGCATATAAATGCTCTGAATACTCTATTTTCTCAACTCACAATGTTGGGATATACAATAGAGTTACAAAAGCGTGCAGAACTTCTACTTCAAAGTCTACCCGATTCGTATGATCAACTTATCATCAATCTGACAAACAAGAAATCTAAGAAACTCCTAGTCTTCGATAATGTTGCTGCTGTTGTATTAAAAGAAGAAAATCAGCGCAAAAATAAGGAAGACAGGCAGATAAGCTCACAACAGGCAGAGGCCTTAACGGTGACAAGAGGAAGATCAACGAAACATGGCCAAAGTGGGAGTCACAACCATGGTAGATCTAAATCCATAAGTAAAAAGAATTTCAAATGCTACAATTGTAGCAAGAAAGGTCACTTGAAGAAGGATTGTTGAAATTTAAAGAAAAATTTCAATCCTCAAGGAAATGTTGTAACCACTTCAGATGATGGAGACACTATGTTGTGAAGCAGCAACGGTGACGAAAAGTAAAAAAAGATTTACAGATACATGGCTTCTCAACTTAGGAGCTACATTTCACATGACCTCTCGGATAGAATGGTTCCATCACAATGAACCTATTTCTAGAGGATCTGTGTTGAGTTGCAACGATCATGCTTTAAAGATCATCAGTATTGGAACTATCAAGCTGAGGATGAGTGATGGGACAATTCGCACTATTCAAGAAGTGCGGCGTGTGGAGGGCTTAAAGAAAAATTTATTATCTTTGGGACAGTTGGATGATCTTGGTTGCAAGGTTGAAATTGCAAACAAGATTATGAAAATCTTTCGAGGTGTGTTGGTAATAATAAAGGGAGAGAAGATAGTTGCAAATTTGTACATGTTAAAGGGAGAGACATTGTAGGAAGTAGAAGCATCAGTTGCTTCAAGCAGTTCAGATGAAAGAACTGCAATGATATGGCATCAAAAACTTGGCCATATTTCCGAGCAGGGAATCAAAATTCTTGCTGAAAAAAAGTTACTTCCTGGTCTCACAAAAGTATCTCTACCATTTTGTGAGCATTGTATCGTGAGCAAGCATCATCGACTCAAATTTAACACATCAAATTCTAAAAGTAAAATTAGTTTAGAATTGGCACACTCTGATGTATGGCAAGCACTGGTTGCATCTCTTTGAGGAGCAAAGTATTTTGTGTCTTTCATTGATGATTATTCTAGAATATGTTGGGTGTATCTTATTAAGAGGAAGGCAGATGTGTTTCCAGCCTTCAAAGTTTTCAAAGCATGAGTTGAACTTGATTCTGGAAATAAGATCAAGTGTTTCAGAACGGACGATGGAGGTGAATACACTAATGACGAATTTGACAAGTTTTGCAAGCAAGAAAATGGAGTCGCAGAGCGGATGAATAGGACCTTGTTGGAAAGAACAAGAGCCGTGTTGAGAACCGCAGGCCTAGGGAAGGCTT